TTTTTTTTTTTTTTTGAGACAGAGTCTCGCTCTGTTGCCAGACGCCAGGCTAGGGTGCAGTGGCACGATATCGGCTCACTGCAACCTCTGTCTCCCGGGTTCAAGCAATTCTCCTGCCTCAGCCTCCGGAGTAGCTGGAACTACAGACGCGTGCCACCATGCCCAGCTAATTTTTATATTTTAGTAGAGATGAGGTTTCACTATGTTGGCCAGGATGGTCTCGATCTCTTGACCTCGTGATTCGCCCGCCTCGGCCTCCCAAAGTGCTGGGATTACAGGCGTGAGCCACTGTGTCTGGCCCACAAATATAATTTAACTATATTTTTGTAGTGAAGGATTATTTTAAGGAACATACTAACATATTGGTGTCTGCCATACAGTAACGTATTTATTGTATGAAAGGTTGTAGATGTTTACTGTATAGCAACTTGGAAAACGTTCAGAATGTGTTGCTTAGCAGTTGAATATTTGTGTATGTAAAGTAATGGTATGGTCTTGGAATTTTGATTTTGTGTAACTAACTTTGGGGATTGAGCACAGTACACAAATCACTGAATTAGGAAACTACCTAGTAAAACCGGTGTATTTTATGAGTTGTATTAGGGTCATTGCTTTAGTAGTTAAACATTTCCCAAAAGGTTACTGGTGAAAAGGTAATTAAAATAGGGAGTTTGAAATTGTAACAGTTTATGGAACTTGTCACATTACTTACCTAAAAATGTTTTCTGTGATAGCTTTTGTGTGTGTATGTCTTCTGGTGTGACATTTCAGAGTGTTACTGAATTTTCTCCTTCACAATTTGTTTTGTTGGCTTATAACTATTTTATCTAGATAAAAAAAATTTGATGTTGAAAAGCTGAACTGAAATTTTCTGAATGTTAATGTATATATATATGTACCAAAATTGTGGTTTTCATTAAAGCTTTTAGTTTTCCAGAGTATTTTAGGATGTTGCTAGAAGATTTATTTCTTCATGAGTACCCTACCCTATTTTTTTCTTTACTTTTTTTTGGGGAGTGGGAATGGAGGCTCACTCTGTCTCCAAGGCTAGAGTGCAGTGGTGCTATCTCTGCTCACTGCAACCTCTGCCTCCTGGGTTCAAGCTATTCTTGTATCTTAGCCTCCCTAGTAGCTGGGCCTACAGGTGCACAACAACACGCCCTGCTCATTTTTTGTATTTTTAGTAGGGAGGAGTTTTGCCATGTTGGCCAGGCTGGTTTTGAACTCCTGACTTAAGGTGATCCGCTTGCCTCAGCCTCTCAAAGTGCTGGGATTATGGGTGTGAGCCACTCCCCTGGCCTAGCCTACCCCTTTCTAAAGTCCATTTGAGTTTTGCAGTTGGCTTAAGATTGTCTTAGACCTTAGAGTGTTCTTGGTTTGTCTGAAACATGCTGAATATCCTTAATTGACTGCCCTTTGATTAGAAAATGGAAATGTTTTATACTATTTATCTTAGAGAAAAAAAGGAAATTCACTTGTAGCTCCAAAACATAGGCATATGCTTATAGTGAAATGGAATCTGTATTCAGATTGACGTAGGATAAGAATTTCATTCCTTATTCTTAAACCAGTAGCTGTTATGGCTCAAGATAGAGATGGTTTTAGCCATAAATTAAGTCTTTAATTCAGTGCATTTTCATTAACTAATGGATTAATTTGATTAGTGGAGTTAAAAAAAACTGGCCTTATACAAGTCATAAGTCAGAAAGTTTGTTTTCCTGTCTTCAGACACATTTTTACATTTTTTAATTAGATGCCTGTGCACAAAGGTTAACCTGACTTCCCTGCACTTGCGTAGGCAAAAAGAAAAACTCAAAATGTGTGTATATAAAGTTAGTGTAAAATTTACTTCAAGTGCAGTCTAATTTTTCACTAAACTGGGTTTTTGTCAGTTGCATCTTTACTATTTCATAGATTAATCTTTAAAAGATGGTAATTTTTAAAGCATTGGTTAAAACTTCTCTGTCTCAGTTTTACTGGTGATGATCTGAAAGCCAAAATTTTACTACTGCAGAAAGAATTTCTTACTACTTAAGAAATTCTACACCTTTTCATGTAATTTATAGGTTTGGGATAACTAAAATTTTTTCATGTACTTCTTTGCTGCCTTAGTCATATTAAATGCACCTAAGGATGTTGTGCTCACGTGGGACACATACAAAGGACGTTTTGCATACTTATTCAAGAAAAAATAGTTTGTGATTTGTAACAGAAATCTTGAAGTTTATGAATAAATACAAGCTAGGAGTTTGCGTTGTTTGAATCATACCACATTGTAGAGGTATTATTTTTTGCCAGCTCTTTAAGTTTTAATATTTTACCTTGCTTGTGACTTCTGAGTCTGTTTAGTTTCTTTTTGTCAATCTCTGATAGGTATGGCCTAAGTGTGTTAGTTTTAGAAAACCAGTCAACTTCATAGGTAAAAGTCAACTTCATATGTAAAAGCTTGAGGCAGCTTTTGAAAAGAATCACTGTAAATTTTATCTGTCTTTTAAAAATAAACTTCATATGAGAGGAGAGATTTTGTTGTTGTTCCTCACCTTCCCTGATATTAGTTCATTAATGTTAGGAAGTCAATTTCTGTTTTTAGCTCTAATCATAATAGGAAACACTAGTCAACGTTTTCGAAGTCTTCATTTAAAAAGTATCTGTAGACTAACATATTTTAAGCTTTGGAGCTGCATGACCAATCTTGTAAGAAGAGGTAAAATTCAGATTAGATGCTTTTGCTGCACATCATTAGCTGTGATGAAAGATAAAATACTTTATAATGAAGAAGACTAATAAGTGGCTGAATTTGATTAAGATTATTGACCCACTTACACAGGAATGGTGATGTAGCGTCTTCCTTTTTGTGTAAAAAACTAGAAGCTATAGCTTTTTTTTTTTTAAGATGATGTTTTGCTCTTGTTCCCCAGGCTGGAGTGCAGTGCAGCGATCTTGGCTCACTGCAGCCACTGCCTCCTGGGTTCAGGGGATTCTCCTGCCTCAGCCTCCAGAGTAGCTGGGATTGCAGTCATGTGCCACCACACCCAGCTAATTTTTGTGTTATTAATAGAGATAGGATTTCATCATGTTGGCCAGGATGGTCTCCATCTCCTGACCTTGTGATCCATCCACCTTGGCCTCCCAAAATACTGGGATTACGTAATAGGCGTGTGCTACCGTGCCCGGCCGTAGCTATAGCTTTAATTTAGCATATCGGTTCAGTTGATTTTAGCAATCAGATCACTCTGTCCCCCACTGTCCCCCTCTGTCCCCCTCTGTTCCCTTCTCCTCATCTGTCCCCCTCTGTTCCCTTCTCCCCCTCTGTCCCTCTCTGTCCCCCTCTGTCCCCTCTGTCCCC